ATCTTCTATTATTACTTTGGGAAAGATAATGATTCTGGCATCTTTAAAATGAAGTGGTGGTAACCATGACGGAACTATTCCATAATCAAGGAAGGAACATGTCTAAGTCCTGTCTAACTTAGAACATCACTTAGATTTCCTTCCTGAGTGGCCACAGGTGTGAGTGAACCACCACAAGTATGAAGGAAACTTCTGCACCTCTTAGAGGCTTTTGCTTCTCGTGAACTCAGTATTTCTTCCTCCTTGATGTGGGAAATTCCCTCCCGTTTGTCCTCTGATCTTAGTTCATGATGGCGTCACACACATGCTCTGTCATCACAGAGCCTCTCATGTGTATTTGAGGGATAATGAGATGTCATTTTCTTCTCTTGGGGGCCAGGGGACCCCTTTGTCACCTTTGTCTTTCTGTAGACTAGTCACTCTTCTTTAGATAGTTGCTGATTATTCTTTCAGGATGTTCTGGAAGTCTCGCTGAGTTGGTTTGTTTTTCAGATCACTATTAGATCAGCTTCGTCACATTTTCATGGTACCCACAGACACAATTCTCCAGACACAAGAGTATTGCACAGGGTGCCTTTATGACCTGGTCCGCTATTTACTGTTGCCTTAGCTTAAGTGAGACATCAGATTGTTCCACAACAGGGGAAGTTACTCAACTCTTCTTAGTGTAGCTATCTCGATAGAGTTTTTGGAATCACTGAACGTATCATACATAAGGTGGCAAGGCTTTCTCATTCTTGCATGGTACTGACCCTTGTCTAACTTCCCTAAGAATAACATCTAAAGTCCATTTTATGACATCTTGACAGATTCTCCCACTGCACTGTAGATTTTTACAAGAAGAAGTCAATTTTATGTCCACGCTAAAGATCAAATTACTCTAGCTATTAGTCATTCACCCAGGAGGGCAGTCAGAGCCAGAAACAACAGAAGAGAGTGAGTAGCTTGAGATTTGGCCACCAATTAATTGATCAAATGGCAAATATTATCTTGGTTAATAGTATAGCAAAACACCCTTTCATTGCCCTGATGGAGCATATATTAATAGAAGACGATAAGACTTCAAGACAAATATTTTACTTTTAGATGGGCATAAAGAATAGAAATGGGGACATATATCAACATGTCCCTTATGTGTGTGTACGTGTGTGTGTGTGTGTGTGTGTGTGTGAGGTGGGAAGAAAATGTAGTGTACCATTTCAACCCTGAACCTCTTGATGAAATGGGTTGAGTTAATAATATATATATACATTATTAGTTATGACATTTCTCCTTTTATTCAGAAAGGAAGTAGCAGTTTTCTTCATAACCCATTGATTTATAACTCAACCAACTCTTCTAGCATGAGTTTTCCCCTAGGTTATAGAGCTCTTACTTGTAACCCTAGCACTTTAAGTAAATGGACTTTTAAAATGGAAAGAAAATTTTCACTTCACTTTTCAATTTATTCTCATTGGGCTTAATTTACTTCTGCTTTCTGTGCAATTTAGAAGAAACAAAATTGGAAAACGTATTATCAATTCAGGGCCACTAAGACATCATTTAGTAAGCTGCTGTTTAGTTCTTTTAATAGATTTATTTTAACCCCGGAGCACCAGAAACTCTAGGTCAAATCAACAAGTCCCTAGGAAGGCACTGTAGAGCATTTGTAGGGCAAACGAGACAAATGAGCTGTAATTTCCATCCTTGAGTTGCTACCTGCTTCATGGTACGTTTCCTAGTCCATTTTCCAGCATTGCTATTAATATCAGCTTGCGAAGCATCATCAGCTCGCACCCCCACAGTCAGGCCAGACTAGGACAGTGTGTAAAAATATGCTTCTGACCACATCATGTGAAATAAAGAACACATGTTAATATTGGGTCAAGTGCTTCACTTACCCAGAATCTCAAACTGTTTATCTGCATAAATTGAGATCTTCAAGGTTGCTTAGGGAGGAAAAGAAATGAGGAATGCACATACCCTTTTCTTGTCTTTCTTAGAGAACTCCTACTCACTCCCCCAGGTGAAGTATTATACTTTGACTCTCCAAGGAGAGTTGGATTTATTTCTTCTTCCCTACCACCAGCACCTGGCACACAGGTCCCGTGTAACATTGAGCCTATAAAAATTCTTTATTTGCTTGCTGAGTTTCTCCCAACACTAAGTCCTGGTAGGACAGAGATTGTTTTCTGTTCTTTTAAAATCCCCAGTCTGTAACACAGTGCCTATTGCTTGGTTATTGGTGAAAGAGATATCAAATGACTGCATGAACAGGTAGACTAAAGGAGTGTTTATAAGGATCTTCAGGATTCAATGGGTTAATAATCAAGTTCTTGAAACAAGGGCCAGTTCATTCCAGAAATGCACTTTTGGCTCCAAACAGAAAGGGCACTAGAAAAAGTACCCAGATCAGATTGACCTCCCGAAGCAGCCATGAAGCTCTTGGTGTCACCTGAGTGACCTTCAACAAGGACTGATGCCATACCTCATTCCAGGATATCAAGAGCCTAAGGGATCTTTGGTCTGGTAACAGTTTCTTATGTTAGTGAGGTAGACCCCTGGACTCTCCACACACTAGAAACTATGCCTTGTGAATCAAATGTGTCTTCTGATATTCAAATATCCCTTTGGAGACTTACCCCCAAGACATTTACTGAACATTTACTGTGGTCCATTAACATACGTGGAGATACAAGAGATACAGGTCCAATATCACAGAGCCATCCAAAAGGGTCTATATCAGGGAGTTTCCAAAAGTACCAGTCTTTCAGAGTGTTTTAAGAATTTGCTAATGATTTTAGTAAATGGGAAAAAGAAAGAAAAGGCCATGATTCATAGCATATACTAAATAAAATTTGCCAGAGTATGCTGAGCTGTTTCTTTCTGATGCACTCTGGCTGAGTGTTACGTTATTCCTAATCCTCTAACCAACTCTTGAGGTTGCAATGCTGCCAATATGGAATCGGCATTGCTTCTGAGATAGACGGCCCAGTGGTTGGCAAAGACAGAACTTAGTCAAAGGCCTTCCTCAAAATTCAGAGGAAAAATTATAACTATATGTAGGAATCACATCTCAAACTCCTTTCTGCATAGGTATACCTCTCTCCATGCACTTCTTACATCTCCTAAGATTTTTGCAAAGCTTCTCTTTTCAAGGAGTTGTATTAAATAAACCCAGATGAAACCATTTATGTAGTAACAATTAAAAGGCAGACAAACAAAAAAAAAAAAGCCAGCAGAGATGCCAGTGTTAGATAAAGGCAATTTACTAACAGTTGGGATCATATTTACTTAAGAGCAGGGGAGATTATAATAACTTAAAAGGTTCAAAGATCCACCAGAGTAGATTGGGTCTAGTCTGCAGTCTTGCTATTAAATGAAAAATTGAATTTCAGTGTTTAGCCTTATTAAAAAATGACCTTAGTTTTTCCTCACAAGAGTGAAAGAGACATCCTTAGCATTTTTGTTTGTGTGGAAAGAAACATTAATCTTTATGTCCATGTAGGTATTTTTACAATGGTACTTGTCTATTCAAGCCTTTTTTCTGAAGACTGTTTCTGCTGAAATGGGCATCTGCTCAGCTCACTCAATTCAAAACAAAAATTTGCATAATCTGTATTTGCATAGCAGCAAGTGGGTGGAGTTTAGGCAAGTGCACAGATGAACATAAAAATCAAATATGGGCAGGAGGAAACTCAATTTCATTATAAAAAACCATGTTTGTTTAAACATAAAAAAGCTGTGTAAACAATCCAAATGTGTTTACCATAGTTTAGCCTACAAGGCTCCCATTTTGTTCTCATTGTTTTAGCAGCTCAGTGGAATGAATGCAAATAAACTTGTGCTACTCACAAGAGATTTCAATTTAAAATTTACTCTCAGAAAAATATAAGAAATAGGATGAAAAAGCCATGAACAGGATGATGTACATTGGGGGAAAAAGTGAAAAACAATGATTATTAGAAGATATAATTAGAGATTTTTTGAACATTATTCAAGCAGTCAAATAAATGAAAGAATATAAGCAAAAATAGAAAAACCTTTGTATACAGCAAAGATTTTAGGAATTTAGGGGTGGAAACAAATAAGACTAGGAATGAAAAGGATATGGATGGAACGTAGGGTTAGGAAGAATAATTTAGGGAGACAATATCCCTATGACAAAGAAAAGGAAGGAGAAAAATCGTGAAAAGAATTTGAACTTAAAAAAAAGTTTTGGCACAAATAGAGTGTTCCTCTTGGTTGGGTCTAAATATACAAACACTAGGCCCAAGGAAGTTAAGAGTCTAACAGTAGACGTACAGCTAGTATTTTGTGGACCTGAATCTTACCAAGTGCATTATCATCTGTGGTCAGCAAATGAGACCATAATGTTAGGTCTATCATAACACAAACTGTGTATTAATGGAGCCATTAATCACCATCAAAACTGTATTAGGAGTGAAGATAGCCAAAGAGAGCTTAACTGACAGCAAGTGGCCATAAACCTGTCCAAAAACTAATTTGATTACCATCATATCAGCATCTGTGCCACTTATGAGGGTTCATTTTTTGATGAAATTAAGTAGACAAGTCATTCATGCGTATAATAGACATCTAAATCATGGTAAACATGTTGCTGGCAAGAGAAGTAGTTAAAGAAGGTGTGGGCTTGTTTTGGTGTCTGGTTATAGAACCAACTCAATGGAAAGCATCTTTTGCACAACAGTTGGGTACAAAATGCCATCAAAGAAGCTTTGGATGAGGCCAAATGCCAAGTGAGGAATAGATAGATTCAAAGTCAGCTGGTGAGATTCAGGGGATGTTGGTTGTTTACAAGAAGGAATGTTTTGCCAGGATAAACTCTCACTCTTTATGGGTCATAAATGTTCCCAGCAAACAATCTGTTTGATTTGGAGACAGTTGGATCTGTTAGGTTTTAGTCCTGACAGACGGAATTGTGGGATGTCATAGTTAATGACAGTCTAAAGAGAGAGTCTAGAATGTGTATACTAAATAAGGGAAGGAATGGACTTGGTTACAAAGAATGACTATGATTCACCCATTTCCCCATTTTTTTTCCAGCTAAGTATTTTAAAAGAATCTGGAATTCCTTATCCAATTTGTGCTTATCTAATTTTAACTTAGAACGAACATGACTTTATATTCTGCATATTTTAAATATTTAGTAAAAGGACATCTCTTTCCAAAGATTCTAAATTATTCAAATGATGAGGGGATTGATACTCCTCACTGACCTGGTATTTAAAATATACATATATTCCAGCATTTAATTCACAGAGAAAAGGATTTTTTTAAAAATACATTTTATGCACAGAAATAACAGGCACATTTGAATATAACAAAGAGCAGCTTATTTTAGGCACATGAAATGAAAAATGATCACACAGGTTCACGTAGCTTGTGAAAATAGACCCCGATATTATAAATGTAGCTCCTGCTTGCTCAATGATCTTGTCCTTTGAGACAAAGCCATATCTGTGTGTCCACGTCTAGTTGCTTATATTTCCATACATATGTGCGAAAGCTTTGAAGGCAGTAAACAAATTTGAGGACAGAAACATTTTTCTTTTAATACCAAGGGCGAGAGCACTTCCCCCATGAACATCTCAGGAAAAAAAACAGCAAGAGTGACACTTGTCTCCAGCGCCTCCTGAAACATTACGCCGCTAATACCGAACACCTCCGTGCTGCTGAGAGGAACCCTCGAGCCACAGGAAGCTGCCTGCCGTTCACAAGCTGGTGCCTTGTAAGCCTCCACGTCTTACCTGAGTTTGCAGATGGGCCATTTCCCAGGTGGGCCTGGCCAAACACTCCTCATTAATCATGGCTTAAACCTCTCTCAGTGGAGAGACCTCAGGTTAGACATCATTTGGAAACAAATTGGGTGAAAAATAGCTCTGACAATAAGGAGCCCACACGGAATTCCCCTGTGAGAGCTTCAGCAGTGTGAAAACAGGCTCTTCCAAGACACTAAATGATCTGTCAGTTAGTGAATGACATTATAATCCAGTTTTGTGTCATATGCAGCTTTAAGCAGTTGCTGCGAGCTCTAGCCTTTTGCTGTTGTTGTGTTTCCAACTCTCTGGGCTCACTTAATTTACAAAGAGGGTTTGGATGTAGAACCGAAAAGATGTGCATGTGCGTTCATGTGTGTGTGTGTGTGTGTGTGCGCGCGCGCGTGTGTATTACATATCACAAAAGCACACATACTCAGGAGCACAATGGCAAACAAAGTACCTGGCCATATGCTGCCTTGCTAAAAATGATACTTGCTCAAATATCTTGGTGGACCACAAGGGGATAAGCCCTAGACTGAATGATCCTGTATGATATAAAAAACAAAACAAAGCAAAAACCTGGAATCCTGACAGCACGATTTATCCTCTGGGTGAGAAAAACTCAGCTACTTTTCTTCAAATGCCTTCCAAGCTTAAGAGCCTTGGGATAAATTTACTCTTCCTAAGCTACTTTTCTTAAAGGTAACTGTATGTTTGCCTTAAAGTGACAGATGGCTTTTCCACCACATATTTGCCATTATTTATACTAACAGATTGCATCTGAATTGACTATAAACCAATGTATTTTGTCTTCCATCTATTATAATTCTCATCTTAGGTTGACCTGGTGGGAGAAAAATAGAAGACAAATGCCCACCCACGTACTCTTGGTACCAGGATTCCATTTATAAAAAGAATACGTCCGGGGACACAAACCTCAGTCACTCTCGTGTCCCAAGTAAGCCCCAGAAGACAGTATCTCTTCTTCTGGAAAGGGGCAGGGACAAGTGGCCTGGGAGAGGTCATGGGGTTTTTTCTGGGTTCCCTGTTTGTTATAATTCAGAACATCTTGAGCAACCCATAGTACATCCACATTCCTTAGTTTACACACAACCAGACCATTTCTCTGACGTACAGAAGGTTTCTCCTGGGCAGGACAGTTTTCTGCCTTCTGCCCTGGGCTCTCAGAAGGGCATCTGAGTTTAACTCTTGAGGGGCCCTGGGCCTGAGGTTAGAGATCCTTCCATTTTTTTATTGCCTTGACTTTCAGACAATGTGCATGAAAGATGGTTTCTGATTGACTCCTTTGAGGAGGACTTAGCATAACAGATTTTAGTAATTTGGCATTTAGAAATTATAGCAATCTTTAAGTTTATTTTGAGTGTCAGAACAGACGTTGGCAATGTCAGTCATTGATGTGAGGATTCAGTTTGGGCTGAGAAGAGCATACGGGAGGAATAGAGGTGGGTGCGCTGCAGGACTCAGGGATGGCAGGCCTGAGTCTGCTGCTGGGCAGAGCGCCGCCACTTCAGAGCATAAGACAAACTTAGGCAGGACATTAATAGGGTCTCTTGCTTTGGATGATTTGAAAACTCACACAACTCTTTATTTTTAAATTCCACCTAACTATTGATCTTGTTGCAGTGGACTTAGGGGTTTCTTCTCTCAAATATATTTTCCTTCTCTCATGTTTCTGCTTGGTGGTGCTTGTCAAGCCTGTAACTCTTCTATGGACTCTGGACTCTAGTTGTATACCTCCAATAACCTATTGGATAGCTCCTGTCACATAAGCATTGCCAATTTAAATTAGATCCAGCATAAAATTCCTTATTTTTCTTCCCCATCACAGTAAATGACAGCATCATATGCCCAATTGTTTGAGCTAAATAACTAGGAACTCTCCTGTATTCCTCCCATTCCTTAACCCTTCAACAGATTTACTGTTGGCAGCCATGTTTGTTCCCCTTCCCAAATGCTCCTGGAATCTCTCCAATTCCTTTTGCAATAGGTGGAAAAGAGGGAGTCTTAGAAAACAATGATAACACCAGGAGTTGATTGCCCCCTACCAGTTTTAGCACTCTGTAAATCCCTTGAAATTTATGCACAGCCCAGGGAACAAGGAGAGTCTGAAACGTCAGTGCACTGAGATAAAGCTCTGCCACCTAGCAGAGATGTAGACTCATAATAAAAATTAAGTCAAATTATAAAAAATATAGTTTTATCCTAAACTTGTGGAATGGGGCTGTATTTACTACAAGGGCAGCTCCAGTGGCAGGAGGCAGGAACGCTTCCACGCCATGCTGGGCCATGAGGTCCAGCTGGGAAATCAAGAGGGAAGGTGGGAAAGGAGCTCACGCTTATTGAACAGCTGCTATGTGCAGGGACTATACTAGATTTTATAGCCATGCTCTTATTTAATTTTTACAGTGTCACCATGAAGTCAGTGCTATTTATTCTTGTTTTACCAATGAGGAAACTGAGGAAGCTTAAGCTGCCAGCTTAAGGTTTTATTCATTCATTCATTCTCTTATTAATATATCCATAAGAATTGATCAAGTGTCTACTTACCAAGTACTACCTATCAGTGCTATCAAGCACTGGGGAAAGAGAGGTGAACAAAGTTGACCAAGGCTCTGCCCCAGATAACTTATTCCAAAGGCAGGAGCCAGACAATGTAGCTTGTAAATAAAAATACCTATGAAGTAATTTCAAGATAGCAAATGCTGTGAAGAAAGTGCAGAAAGCCAATGAGATCACAGGGAATGAGACGAAGGGGTGTGGGTACTTTCCCCAGGTGGTTAGGGAAGGCCTCACCGAGGAGATATGAGAATATTGAGGAAAAGGCAATTGTGTGACAATCACAGGGTATAGTGTCCCAAGCAAAGGGAAGAGCAGATGCAAAGGCCCTGAGGTAGCAACAAGGGTAGCATGTTAAAGAGGCCTAAAGCATGACTGAGACCCCATGGGTAATGGAGAGTGTGGTGGAAGATGAAGTCAAAGGTAGAAAATATATTCTAGTCACCTTCTATGTCAGAACCGACAGACATAAGTCATATTTTTTAATGGTATTGAATAATAGAGACTTATTTGATAAGTTTTCTCTTATTGGAAGGGTTCTTTTTCCTCTGTTATTTACTTTCACAAATAATAGTTGGTTGAATTCTCTTATTCCAATTGCCTTATAAGGTGAGGGGAACTGAGAGATTAACTTTAAGCAAACCAGTTTTGCTATATTTAGATTTAGTAATAGGTTTGAAGGAAAGAAGGTTATAAACACTGGTTGCAATCAGAATTTGGAAAGATAATTGCTTTTGTCTCTTCCCATCTGCAGGAGCAGAGAAAGTTGGATTTCTCAATTTAAGCTTTCTACTTCTAGAGAGTACATCTTCCTTCCAATTCTGGTTTTCTCCAAAAACAAGAAGAAGCCATAATGTTGAATAAACAAGAGTCCATAAAGTTGTATGAATGAGCAAGTCATCAAGGCTGAAATGAAACCAGAATTTGAAATTAAGTGACTTGTGGGTTGTTGCAGTTCCAAGCTAAATTTCCAAGGAAATGACATTGAATATATAGAGATTTCCTCCCCTTATTTCCACTGTCTGAAGAAACACACATGCAGAAAGAAATTGGAAAAGGATTCTAATTTAAACATATTTTTAAAATTAAAACAACAGAGTTCTACATTACTGTTGTGAACTTCTAGGCTCTTGAAATCTCTTATTTTAATATTATAAACTTGCCCATGGAATTTTTATTTGAAATTATAGATTGATAGGATTCTGGGCTCTACAAATTTGCTGAAACCTGAATTAAATTTAAATCTCAAAATCTATAAGTCAACCCCAAAACTGATCCTCCTTTTTTAAAAAACAATTTTCTATTGACTCTACCATATATCACTAATGGATAGGAATTGGAATGGGGAAGAAAAGACAAAACAAAAACAAGAAATTGCACCTCCATGAGGAGTGGAGCAGTGGATACCCTTTGACTAGGTCTGGATTTTTAAATGAAATAAAGTCATTGAGATGATGAGTTTATGTTTCTGAGGCTTTCCATTACCCCTGACATTCTGAACTTGGCCTGGATTCCAGGGTTAGAAGAAAATACTGATACACCAACAATCAACTGTTTAAATTAAGTAGAATGAGAGAGGGGCTGCAAAGACTTGTAAACCATCTGCTGGGGAAGTCCCGTGAGGGCACGGATATGGACAGAGAGGATATAGCAGGGCTTCACAGAGGCCATGGCCAGTGGAAAAGAAGAAGTCAAGCCAGAGCTCAAGAAGGATGACATCAAGCTAAAAGTAGGTGGCTTAATTTAGTTTTAAAATATATATGGACTGAGGATTTGCTATGGTTTCTGGCAATACCATAATGAAGCAATCTCCATACTCTGGAAACTTTTAGTCAAGAACAGACAATGAAGGCACCTGCCAGCCCCGGTGATAGCTCAGGGTGACAGCATGAGTCAAGGTGGCTTAGCTGACTCCCACTGGCTGGAATTTGCTCCTCAACCTCTGTTCTAAAGGGTTGTCTGTCATTTCTGATGGATTCTCTATTGGTTTTGATTGATAGGAATAACAATGCTGATGAAACTAATGTATAATTGGGGTGCACTCCCCCCAAGCCAATATTGGCACCTTGATTATGTCCTCATGGACTGAGCAGCAGTAAGGGAAACAGTCAGAAGTCTTTCTTGTCACTATTTCAGGCCTCCTCTGGAAGGCCTGATACATGATTTGGCTGTATGTAATAAAGTACTAGTATTATGCCATGGAAATTGCAGCAGGAATTCCTCCTGTAAGAATGTATGTTCCACAAGGAACACATAACACAGCAGAGGCAGGATGCAACCCCCTGCCAGTGAGTGAAAGACATCACTGTCTTAGGGATATTCAGACAAGGGCGTTAGATATTTCTGACAGCACAAGTAGGCACAGAATTCTGTCACCACTCTGGCAATAGTCATGTAGTGGCAAATACGGCAATTGGTGACTTATGTGTCCCTCTGAGGGAGACAGTCTCATCTAGGAAAATTCAACTATTTAGCAGGGCTGTGAAGCTAGGAATATTTGGGGCTGGATCCCCAAAATCCATTTTATTTCATGCCCTATTCCTCATGAAAGCCAGCTCAATTCTTTCTCTCCAGAGGATTGGCTGGGAGAGGAGAGGACTCCCCGGTACCCTGGATGGTGCATCCTTGGGAAAGGCCATCAAAGAAACGCTCCAGTTCCTAGCACCTAATAAAGAAAACTAAAGGAATCTTTGCAATGAAAAAAACAACCTCACACAATAATCCAAGCCACCAGTTTGCTAGGACCATGCTAGTCTCTGAAAAAGTTGTCAGAATCTCAGGAAGGAGAGAGATTCCAAGGAGGCATCGAGCCAATGTAATTAATAGAGCTTACATGGCAGATCGCCTTTGGATTTCCAGTCATGAACGGAGGGGCTGGGGAAGCAGGACGGATCCAGCAATCATCCCATCTCAATATGTTTGCACCTCAATACCCGTCCCTGGAGGACTCGGGGCTGCCGCCAGCCCTCACTCATCACACAGAATTAGTGGGTCTGCGAGTGCTATGGCATGGCAGCTCCGCACGGCAGCCACCGAGCAAGAAGATTTATTGCTCTATTTGACAGTCTGTTATTCACTAACTGAGCATGACACATCTGGGATTTGGAACCATCAACTTGACATCTAACAGGAGAACAAACCTTTGGGAGGAGGACGGAAGGGGGGGAGAGAGCAGGGGAAAGCGGCCGTTTTCAGAATAGATTTCCCATTTCCCCGCAGACTCCGATTGTTGGTCCAGGCTGGAGGTCAACACCAGATGGAAGGGAAGAGCCAGATGCACAGAGTGCCTTGGTCTGGTGTCAGGGATAATGAAGCTTCAGATATATTTCACTGCAAAGAAAGAAATTTGGGTCCTTGTAGGAGATGCACATCTTTCCTAGTAACATTGGGCAGGTTTTCATTCTTCTTGTCTTGTAGGAATGCATGTTCCATGAGGAACACGGGAGAGCTCCCCTCCATGCCTCCCTCCCTTTACAGCTGAAGCAGAGCCTCGCTGCTGGAGGAGAATGAGGGCATTCCTGCTTGAAGCCACTCTTTCAGCCGTAGGGCCCCAGCTGGCAGCATGGCCTCTAATCCCTTTTCCAGGCCTGGGCCCTCCCCGACCAGCTGGGTGAGCTGAGGTTGGGCCCAGGAATCTTCTTCCTCTGCATAGGCCCCATTGCATCAAACAAGATTTTTAAAGACAAATATTTTTCTTGGGCAATATAAAGCCAGAGTTCTGTCCACAAGATTATTGCAGGCTCCATCTTTGCTGTGAAAAAGAGAGTGGTGCTCACTAACGATCAGAAAGATAATTTATTTAATCTTCATGGATCCACTGGGAGCCATGGCTCAGAGGCCCATGAATAAAAATGGCAAGTTTGCTCAGAGCATTCAAGGCAGTTAAGACAATTTGTTTAGCCTGCTGCTAAGTGCTCCAAGGGCTTATCTATTCTGGCTAAAAATCGCACGCATGCAAGTGTGCACGTACACACACATCCATTAAAAATATCTAGTCTCTATGCTGATATTCTAGTAAGTAAATATAAGATTAAATAAAAGTTTTAATGCCTGATTTATGACTCTTTTGGTTCCCATATGTTACTCCCTTATAATACATGTATTCCTTCTCTATTTATTTTCTTTCTCTGTTTCTGTCTGTCTCTCCTCTCCTCGCCTCTTCCATCTCCTCTACCCCATCCCTCCCTGGATCCCTCCTCTTGTCTCAGCAAGGAGAGGAGGTGAACAAGGCAGTGAGACCACAAGCAGGGGCTCCAGTTCAGATTTCCTCCTAATCCCTATTGCAAAATCCTGCAAAATAAAGAAATAGTGCTAGCAATGATGAAGGAGAAGTGAATTACCAGGGAGAATTGCTCTATTTTACTCTAAACATTTTAAAGTTGAATTGTAGCTTCCCTTTGAGCTTCTTAAAAAGGACATAGTCTTTTTAAAAACAGAGACAAGTTGGACCTTCTTTGTGATTGTTTGTTGATTTGATAGAAGTATTGAAAAGATTGCAAGCATATTCATTAACAGATAAACTCCTAGATGTTATATACTGATGGAGAAAGTTTAAAGCAATTTAACCAAATTAAGAACAAGAAAAATTGGGAATGGGGGAAAAAAATCAGAAGTTTTCCAACCAGGAACTGAGAGTGAATAGGAACGAGTTGGCAATTGTGAGAAGAAAAATACTTAAAACACCTGCTTGGAACAAGTCACAGAGCAAAGCTGAATGATACAGAGGCCTGGAGGTTCCTGGAATCTGAAAATCTCTCATTTCCTCCCTGCCCTCTCCTGTGGTTGAGGTTTTATAATAATATAGATATCCTGAGTGTGACATGGGGACTTATAAGACTTTGTCTTCATTGGTAATTGTATTTCCTGTATTAATTAAACTCTGCTCAGTACTCTTATGGCAGAGTGATTACCAGGGAGGAAATCCAAGGAGTTTCTGCTTAACATAGGACGTGTTCCTGGGAGTGCTGACAAGGGCCACCACATGAGGCTGATGGCCCAGTGCAAGTGTTCTGTGTTAGGTCATTATGGAAGTTTCATGGAGTAAATGTTCCTCATCCTTACTGGGGTACAGGTCAGTCCAGGTCAGGGTGCTAGACCAGGCTTGGCACCTTTGGGGTCAGGTAGGCATGGGTGTCCATGGGCATTCCAAGTCATATTTTAGAGCTCAAAGTCTACCACAGGGGATTCCTGGAGTCAGCAAGACTCCAGGCAGGCAGGGACTATGGGAGCCGGCACAGCTTCACCAAGTGCTCGTCAGTCTCCTGACTCAGTGAGGCTTTTATCCTTGCTGGTTTAGGCTTCCCACTGGAGCCAGTGTCTCACTGTGAGCCTCAGGAAGCTTTGCTGATTATACAATCCTGCATCTCCCAAGAATTAGGATATTTCTCTCAATACTCAGAAATGCCACCCAAGGAAGAAGCAGCCTTCTGCTGCCCCCACTAGTACCTACAGTGGGGTAGCTCATCCCTCCCACACAGTAGTGCCCCTTCACTCAAGGACATAGAGAAGTTTGGCCTGGGACCAACAGAAGGGGCCCGTCCCCCTGGGAGATGGTTATCACATCCTTCATGCCTCTGCCCTGGTCAAAGTCCCTGTTCATGCTCAGTTCTAGTCATGTCTATTTGTTCACTAATGCTGCCATAACAAAATTCCACAGACGGGTGGTTTAAACCAGGGGTCCCCAACCTATGGGGACTTGTATGATTATTTTATTATATATTAGAATTCAATAATAATAGAAACAAAGTGCACAATAAATATAATGTGCTCGAATCATCCTGAAACCATCTCCCCATCTCTGGTCCATGGAAAAATTGTCTTCCATGAAAACAGTCCCTGGTGCCAAAAAGGTTGGGGACTGCTGGTTTAAACAATAGAAATTTATTCTCTCGCAATTCTGAACCCTAGAAGTACAAGGTCAAGGTGTCAGCAGGTTTGGTTTCTTCTGAGGACCCTCTCCTTGGCTTGCAGATAGCTGTCTTCTGGCTGCGTCCTCCTACACACAGTCAGCCCTCTGTCTTGTCTTTATCTCCTCTTCTCAGAAGGACTCACATAATATCAGATGAGGGCCCACCCTAATGAACTAGTTTTAACTTAATAACTTTCTCATAGGCCCTACCTCCAAATATAGAGAGGTACAGGGAGTCAGGGCATCAACATGTGAATTTTGGGGTGACACAATTTAGCCCCTAACACGATGCCTGCTCACTCAGCCTGGCTGCACTCTCTCTGCTATGCTAGCCAGACACACCAGCAACTTGAAACATGAGCTCTGCTACTTCAGATTGCTCTTGATTTATTTTTATGCAAAAATTCTTTCTCTATCACGGATTCTTTTATCTTGTTGAACCACTGATGTCCTGGCCATTTTCACACATTTATCAAAGACTTTGCCTCCTTTTGTCAGCCAGGGTAAATTCAATATCTCCAAGCTATAACCCTTCTCCCATCTATAACCC